ATTTTGCTTTTGGAGAAAAAGGAAAATAGATTTATTTGTGTTACGCTTATTAATTTGTGCAGTTATTCAGTGTCTGGTAAGTTAATGTTTAAGGAAGAATATTAATTTTTATTAAAATGTTCTATTATTTTATGTGAATGATGACTCATTTATTTCAGCCCTTTGTATTCAGCCTGTCTCTATGGAAATAAACCTACATTTCTATGAAAATTGAAGCTTTTGTTGTTTTGCGGCCCACGTACACTTCAACCTTTTTCATTTGGCCCGTGTCAGCCTTTGAGTTTGACATGCTCGATGTACAACGAGCAGGGAGGAGTGTCCAGAAGAGAAATGGGAGAAGCATCAAAGAGGAGGGGAAAACCCAGGGAGAGACTTGGTTTCAAGGACTCCATAGTGAACAAAGTCAGTGTCAACTGCTGTCAGGAAGCAGGTAAGATGAGGACACAAAACTTTCTTGGGCCCGGCCGGCATGGCTCAGTGGTTGACCATTGACCTATGAACCAGGAGGTCACGGTTTGATTCCCAGTCAGGGCACATGCCCGGTTCCCCAGTAGGGGCCATACAGGAGGCAGCTGATTGATGATTCTCTCATCATTGATTTTCCTATCTCTCTCTCTCCCTCTCCCTTCCTCTCTGAAATCAACAAAAATATATTTTTAAAAAATAATACAAATTAAAAATAAAAACATGCAAAACAATGTTTACATATTATGGAAATGAGTATGTAGTTGAACTATAAGAAGATGAAAATATGCAACATGCTATCACAGCGTATGTTACACTTGCACCTATACATACAAACTGGCCAACAGTCTGTTTTTAACCTATATTTACTTACAAGTGTTTCTTTTTTTCCTCTGAAGTGATTTTTTTTCCCTTCTCGTCATTTAAAAAGCTTTTTGTTTAAAACTAATTACACAGTTGCAGTTCTGACCATCTTTAAATCTTCTCTTCTTGCTGGCTCCATCTTTTTTAGTGGTTCTGTCTTTTCTTTCTTTCCTGATTTTTAAAAATATGTTTTTATTGATTTCACAGGAAGGGAGAGGGAGAGATAGAAACATCCATGGTGAGAGAGAATCATTGATCAGCTTCCTCCTACATGCTCCCCACCTGGATTGAGCCTGCAACCCGAGCATGTGCCCTGACTGGTAATGGAACCGTGACCTCCTGGTTCATACTGGTAAGCCGACACTCAACCACTGAGCAACACTGGCTAGGCTCTTTCCAGATTTCTATTATAGTATTTTTCATATTCTGCCTGACACGGTCCATTTCAGAAGTCCCCAAGGGTTTCAACCTGTTCTTGTTTCTACTGACATAAGTATGGGGCTCTCTTTCCTACATGTTTGGTGCTCTTTGTGAGGTCTTCTTGGCTAACTCTTCTTTTTGGGTGAACTGGAGACCTAAACTGAGCTAGCTTTTCTCTAGAGAGGATTTGCTTTCCACTTCTGCCAGGAGCATCACCACCCTGGATCCGCTATTGTTCCCACCCAGGGTCCCAAGCTCAATCTAGGTATTCCCCTTCCTACCTCTCTCTTTTAAAAATATATTCTTATTGCCCTGACTGGTTTGGCTCGGTGGATAGAGCGTCGGCCTGCGGACTGAAGGGTCCCAGGTTCGATTCTGGTCAAGGGCATGTACCTTGGTTGCGGGAACATCTC